AGAGAGAGAGAGAGAGAGAGAGAGAGAGAGAGCGAGAGAGAGAGTTTTTGCATATATGTTGTTTTAATAAAGTTGCATATATAAATAAAATATACAGTACATTGTCAACATAATTGCTACATAAAATGCCATATGAAAATCAAATAGGTCACACAGATATTCTCAATATATGTACATAATATACTAATTTTACTGTGAGAATTTTATATGTTATAAGCTTACTGTACATCTTCATCTACCCAAAGAGTGTACACATATGTGAATGTACACTTTAGAGTAACATAAATGGCAATATCAGTGGTGATATGGGGCAATATATGTCATATATATTATATTTCTGTATGGGCAGTAATTGGTTATGTTTTTTCTAAGGCCACGCTGACCTGTGCAAAGCAGCCAGTAGTTTATTTGTGTCTACTTGCGTCTGCTCCGGCGCCTGGCTGTGCCATTGATAAGAATGGGAGGAGCAATCTAACCTTGATAGGACATAATAAAATCCAGCAGAGCTGTAGGACACTTTTCTCATTTCACATAATCATAACGGCATCATTGCTGACTGTTACATATGTTATATAATGTATCATTTTACGGTCCTATAATAGTATAACCTTTTTACTTTTTAAAGATTTCATAAACACACAAAAAACTTTAGAATTCAGCATAAGAGAAAACACAGCATATCGTCTCATGTGCTTTCTTGTAATTTATTACTGTTGATATTATCTTGATATTAACTTGATATTAAGATACACAAGGTAAAAATCTACTATTTAACAAAGATAAAAAAGTCTTTACTCCAGATTTTTATGCTCCACATTTTTATTATTATTAGGTTTTATTTATTTCTATATTTTATTTATTTATTATTTATTTGATTGTTTGTTATACTTGGCAAAAAAGAAAGAAAAACACACTTTTTAAAAGAAATAAAAACCCAGTATTATAATTTTACAGCCCTATAACTTTAAACATTTAGCAACCACAAAAAAACTTCAACATTCAAAATGAAACATATCATCTCATATGCGTTCTTGTCATTTATGATTGTTTTGATATTAAAGGGCGAGATATACAATGCATTACTCTTTAACAAAGATCCAAAAGAACGTTTTTACTTTGCATTATTAATGTTCCAAACAGCTTTCAACATTAAAAGTCTCTATTGTTATTGTTTTACTGTTATTATACTATTGTTATCATTTTTTTTATTACAGTTCATAAATGAGTGCACATTTATATGTGTTATCCATCCGGCAATCAGAATGAAACACGTGTATTGACCGTGTTGCCGCGCAACGCGTGACATCATCATCCAAACGCGGAAGTGGAATGTTACAGTTACAGTGAAAGTGAAAACACGAAGAACTCGAGTCCTGTTGTTATCATCCATGGATCAAATACAGTACCGCAGCTTTGCCAGATATCTAGATGGAGAATTCTGGGAGATTAAAGATGCTTTTCGTGACGCGATTTCAAAGTGTGAACTGTTTCAGTCCAGCAGGTAAGTAAACCGTGTTTTCACGGGAGTTAATAAAAGGAAACATACAGTCACCGCTTCCAGACACACGATGGAGGCTGTTTCACATTTCGTTAAGATTTAATAGATTTAAACTCGTGTTCTCCTGCAGTTATGAACTGACTTTGGATCAGAGCAGAGACCTGACTGCAGAGAGACTCTATCACTTGTTAAGACTGCCTTTCATGAAAGAACACCTTCGAAATCAGGTAAACTTCTGCACGTCTTCAACAAGTACTATGGTGTTACCATGGTAAAGCTATGTTGTCATTTGGTAAAAACAATAGCACTTTGATATATTACTGAAATTCACGTTGTCCTCCAAAGCTCAGCATTGTTAGTTAACATGGTAGAAGTTCTAAAACGTGGTTTTACCATGGTACATGGGACAAAAAATGTGGTTTTGCCATGATATCATAAAACCCACTGCATCAAAAACATGCAGGCATTACAATGTTGTTATTTTTTCTTAGTGTAATGCATATTGAAAATATATTATTTGCCTTTGTTTAGCTAAAAGATAAGCAAAAAGGCTTCACAAACAAGAGTTTAGGCATCACTGAGATCATCTGCTCTGCTGACATGGCCACGGGAGTCAAGGTTTGTCAATTTTGTGCTGTACACTGACAAAAATGGTGTAGAAACAACTTTCACTCAGAAATCGCTAGTAAATTTCACAAACAGTTACACATACAAATTGTTGTAAAATCATTATTGCAGTGTATTCTAAAATTCCAGCTGCTTCATAATAAAGGTAATTATGCTGAAATCAGCTGCAACGTTTTCTAACATCTTGGGTTGCTGTTGTTTACACTATAGCTGAATTTTGAGCTGTTCTCGAGACATTTGCATGTGTTGACATGCATGACACTACACATTTGCATTTATTCCACATTTGAATAGTCACACTGCACTATTTGTTGTAACCCTCAGCTCGGTGTTGTGTGTGGACTGTATGGAGGTGCTGTCAATAATCTAGGCAGTCCAGAGCAGAAGATGAAATGGTATCTCCCTGTTTCAGTAAGTCATGAATAGATTCTGTGCGCTCCAGACTTTGAAACACCCTCAACACATGTGCACAAAAATGTTTGCAAGTCAAAGTCCTGGTCATTTTGGTCTCCATGAGTTTGCACATGTGTTTGTTTATTGCAAGAATGGCTGAAATGATTGATTTCAAGGTATAGTTTACCCCAAAATTAAAGTGGTCTGAATACTTCCTCACCCTCAGGCCATCCAAGATGAGTTTATTTCTTCATCGGATTTGGAGAATTTTAGCATTGCATCACTTGCTCACCAATGGCTCCTCTGCAGTGAATGGGTGCCGTCAGAATGAGAGTCCAAACAGCTGATAAAAACATCACAATAATCCACACCACTCCAGTCCATCAATGAATGTCTTGTGAAGCGAAAAGCTACGTGTTTGTAAGAAACAAATCCATCATTAAGACGTTTTAACTTCAATCCTTTGCTTTCGGCTAAAATACGAGTCCTTGATCCATAATAACAAGTCCATAATCCATAATAATGTCTTAATGATGGATTTGTTTCTTACAAACACGCAGCTTTTCGCTTCACAAGACATTAACTGATGGACTGGAGTGGTGTGGATTACTTGTGGAGACTTGTGATGTTTTTATCAGCTGTTTGGACTCTCATTCTGACGGCACCCATTCACTGCAGAGGATCCATTGGTGAGCAAGTGATGGAATGCTACATTTCTCCAAATCTGTTCTGATAAAGAAACAAACTCATCTACATCATGGATGGGTGAGGCAAATTTTCATTTTGGGGTGAGCTATTCCTTTAATGTCAATGCAACATGCCCTATACATTTTTGTGTTTAATTGCAGGAGTTACAATTTACAGGGATGTTTGCGATGACTGAGAGGGGCCACGGTAGCAACGTTCGAGGCATTCTCACTGAGGCCCGATACAATCAATCCACACAGGTGATTCCCGAGTCTACTCTATGCTTTCATCTACAGGACTGTCTGGGATCAACAGTGATTTCAATGCAAATTTTAAAGGAATAGTTTACCCGAAATTATAAATTCTGGCGTCAGCAACAACTTAAGTTGTAAAACCATATGATAGTCATGCTTACTTATTTTATAAAATACAGCTGAGATTTATACCATTAAGCTCCAAAAAGGTTCAAAAGTACCAAAAAAGGTTCTATAATGTGTTATTCACTGGAGAGCTTTAATTTTTGTGACTCATATCCACACTTGAATTATTGCGAAACAGACACAGAGTTGAGTTTAAAATGTTTCTGATGGTTGTTTTGCAGGAGTTTATTATTCACACACCTTCCGAAGATGCTCAGAAAATGTACATCGGGAATGCAATGAAAGGAAACTATGCTGCTGTGTTTGCTCAGCTCATTATAAATGGAGAATCTCAGGGTAAGAGTGATGCAACGGCTGTTCATACTGACTTTACATACTGAATTATCATCACAAGCCTGTCTGCACATTAGTTCATCATATCTGGCATGCTTCTAACAACTCATTTGGGCTCATTTAGACATGGACCCACTGATTTAAATTGTATATGTGGACATGCGTGACAAATTTTGGTGTTATCTAAAAATGTTTGACATGTATTGTGCACCGATTGATCTGTTAAACAAGACAGAAACAGCTTGAATCACTAACCCATGTGTTAAACTTTAGCACATAACTTGTATGGATATGAACGACACCTAAATCATGCTTCTTATTGAGATGATGTCTGTCCCAGGTCCCCACTGCTTTATTGTACCAATCCGTGATCAGAATGGAGTCATGTGGCCAGGAGTGACGACCATTGACATGAAGCACAAGGAAGGTAATACAATAACACTATTTTTCAATACAGCCCTCCTCAATAAAGTTTTTCCAAGTTTTGACTGTTTTACTTTATATGTGTTTTTACGCAGGTCTGCATGGGGTTGACAATGGCATTTTGATATTTAATAACGTCCGGATACCACAGGAAAATCTGCTGAGAAAGTGAGTTAACGGACAGAATTACTGTAGATTAGGCATCGTGAACTAAAAGGCATTCATGAGATGATAATAGAAATTGCCACAATCATGAAAAACACACACACACACACACACATACATATACAGTGGGTACGGAAAGTATTCAGACCCCCTTAAATTTTTCACTCTTTGTTATATTGCAGCCATTTGCTAAAATCATTTAAGTTAATTTTTTTTCCTCATTAATGTACACACAGCACCCCATATTGACAGAAAAACACAGAATTGTTGACATTTTTGCAGATTTATTAAAAAAGAAAAACTGAAATATCACATGGTCCTAAGTATTCAGAGCTGTGGATCACCGGATCGGCTTTCACCGTGGACGAAGCGGAGTCCAGCCCGGGGTCGTCACATGTGGTTCCTGCAAGCCCGCCGGACGCTCGTTCGTCGAATCTGCCGGCCGCCGCTCACTCTAGCCCGCCGTGTGTGACGCTGT